TGAACAAGTAAATTTATTTGATTATCTGCTTTTAGTATACGAGAAGCGAGCCGAGTGAACGATTTGAAAGAGCTATATATTTTAATTTTATTTAATTTTGGCATAGTCTGGTTTACGACTGCATATTTTTATTATCTAATGGATCTCCTTAAATCTATAAAGTTCTCTTCAAACTACTTTGGAGGGCCTTCTTTTTCATTCTATATAATTAGATTATCATTTCCTAATTGTGTGCCTAAATTAACTATACATTATCCTTAAATCCGGATTTTATTAACAAAACAGTGTTGATAACCCAATACTTGTCAATGTGAAGGAGGCATTACTAGAGAAAATGCAGCTCCTAATTATGATTTACTGAAAGTTTGCAACATAATATTGGTTTATTTTTTCTTACATCCAGGTGAATTGTTTGAGATTATAATTAATAAAAACCTTATTACTCTATCAATATGGTTTATATCTTGTATACACCTAAATAACATTTATCCCCCTTTTAGGCTTAGAGGCCAATGGAAATGCTGTCGAGGCGCCTGCTCGCTTCACTATAGACACTTTCAGTGCCGGAAAAGGTCAGCTGGAGGTAATAGTCATCAGTCCTAAAGGAGTCAACGAAAAGGTAACCGTAAATTCTTTTTAGCTTCTCACATTTCGAGTAAGCCCATTGACATTAATTTAAGCAAAGATTGTAGTGAAATATTTTCTTCAGAGTTTATCTAAATGCCTTATCTAATTACTGTACTTGACAGAAAAATATAAATAAACAGAGCTTTGATTAAGAAAGCTCTATTGAAGCGACATATTAGGCACCTTGTGCTTTTATTAGTATTTTCGCAGAGTTTTTGGCTAATATCGCTTATGAATAATACATAGTATAGTGTTAATTTGACCTCATTTTCGCAACTTTGTAGGTGAAACAGTTAGACCTTGTGGAACGTTTCTATTCCTGCGTCCTCTGTCATAGTATTCATGGTGATTTTCAGCATCTGGACGTTGACTTTTTTCATTCACAGACGTTTCATTGTCATTGTAGCCGGCATCGCCGGTGAGAAGCGCCCTCCTTAGCCCAGAGTTATAACTTTTCACTTGTCACTTTGCTAAGTTGTAGCTCTGTGCTAAGCATGGTGGCGTTACGTCTGGAAATGCGCCAAGTCAAAGCTCCGATGCTGGAAATTATTATCGGTACGTTCCACGATGTCTATCTGTTGCCTCAATCAAGTTGCGAAAACGAAGTCAAACCAACACTATATAGTTAAAGGAGACTGTGACCATGCATAAAGCCACATGATCTTGGTCTTCATTTTCTTGCAGTATAAATTCACCCTACTTCCTCTATATCGAATATGCTAATCGAATGCTATAATAAATTCCTAGTCTCATAGGCAGACAATGAGTACATTTATCTCAACTTATGACCGAATAAATGCATACTTTCTCTCACTATATTACCTAGTTAATCCCTTACTCTAATTTATCGTCAGACTAATTGTTGTTTCGAATAAAATAATCCATATGGAGATGACAAACTTTCACATACATCGCATTCAAATTCTTGGTATTCTAAGAAGGATTCTCTATCCTTATCTAGATTTGACGGTGAGAGAATCCATTTAGTCTTTCTTATCAGAATGTTATTTTATGCGAATTATTTACTCTTCTGACGTTACTCCTTCGCTGGAACTGAAAAACTGTGGCTTAAGTAGTGCAGCCCAGTATGCTAGGACCAAACAGGGTTGATCATCTGTTTCTCGTAAAAGCGGCCTAGAAATGTAAAAGGATTGAGAAAATCCCTCCACTATGCTGAAGTGTTTACTCTCCCTACTCATTAATTTCTTGTATCAGAGCTTAGGACTTTTGTACTCCATAATTCTTTGGAGAATATATACTTTTACACTCCATTTTGGTCAATGTATTCATATTTTTTTTATTTTTTTATCACCCTATATTCTTGAGTGTGAGGTAACGGCTAACAATGACAAGAATTTGACCTACTCATGTCTCTATGTCCCAAGAATGGAAGGCGAGTATCGCGTGGTCATCCGTTTTGCTAGTAAGGAGGTTCCTGGCTCACCCTTTTACGTGAATATCAAGGGAGCAGCTGGAGACCCTGTTAAAGTCACTCTTTCTGGCCCTGGCGCTGACCCTGCTGGCAACAATTGTGTAGGAAAACGAAGTTTCTTCAACGTGCATGCCACGAGTGAGTTATTTTGTACTGCTACTACTACGATATACTATTAGAGCGTTATATTACTAAAACGTCATCTTTTTCAGTTTCACTGATATTGTGAGCCTGGTTGCTCAATGTACCATAAATTGACTATGGCAAAACATGCTACGAAGCAATATCTGAATGTTCCCTTAAAGAAATGTTCATCATCTAGTCGCTGATCTATTTAGGAATAACGCCCTTTAAATAGCCACTTTTTAAGTATTATAACTACTTTTCTACACAAAAATTTAACTGAATGACATTCTTCCTCTTTACCCTCCATATGTTAATGCGACCAGAATCGCTATTAAATTTGTAAATAAGCTTTAATTAAATGATAAATCTCAAGCCATTCTTGACAGAGGGAATAAGGAGGATAGGGTTTGTTTCAAATCAGCGTACTTAGTGAATTCTCCTTTTGTGGACTTCTTATTTTGTGCGTTTCTCGTTTTCACTAAAAAGTGAGTGTATTTCCAAATGAATTCGATTATATTACAAGTTAATTGCAAGGCTGTGGAGTAGGTTCTGTAGTGTTTATAGAAAGAACTTTTTATTCTCAGTTATACTTTATATTTTATTAGAATGATGCCCAAGCAGTGAAACTACTTTCTGATACACAACCTCAACTAATTTAAGTATCCTTAGAGTAACTCAAACTTGTTCTTGGACTAGCTAAAATAAATCGTATAGGCAGCTGGCCTGTTTTCGGGAAAAAGTCTACATATAAATTGGGCCAGGTGATAACTGAAACGATGGTTTCATACTTTGTTGAAAATTTGAATGCTAACTTAAGAATGGTCTCGCCTAAATTAAATTACAGAGAAAATTAGCAACTGAGTTTTTATACTATAGAATTTATGACGCTACTCCTATTGCAATCACATTGAAGATTGTATATATCACAATGCGTGCATTATTATTAAGAGAAATAAAGTATATCTTAATATCAATTATAATAATGGTATCCACAACTTAAACTTTAGTCTGTGTGATAAAAAAGGCTCGCACAGACCCCTGGAACGATAAATTTAAGACTTCGGAAGCTCCTTAACTCTAGGATCTACATTTTTTGCACAAAAATATATAGAGATTTTAGAGCATTTCATTCGTGAAGTAGTTCCTTGTCAATTGATCTTGCTCTGACTTCAAATCGAGGCTGTTATCAAAGGGTCAAGAGAATAATTCCGCAGGGACTGTTTGCTAACTAAACTTAA